TTTTTTTTTTAAGTTTATTGGTACATTTTAGGTATACAATACAGGTACATTGATCGTTGGGATCTTGTACCTTTACATGCCAGGTCTTGGTTCTCATTTTTCCCCATTCCCAGCCTTCCTTTCACCCCCTCCACCCTTCCCTGTTTACAAAGACTTTGTTTCCATGTTTTTCCTTTTCACATATATTCTTTTGCCTTTTTACCTTTCTGCTACCCCTCCCATTTCCTCTACTCCTTTAGCCCTTTTCTTCCTATTACACAATATCAATTATGCATTTGGATCCTTATTTATACTTTTAGTTTATCACACCAGAGAAACTGTTTGGTATTTACACATGTGTGTCATATTAGTTTCACTTAAGAGTATGGCCTCAGTGTGCATCCACTTAGCAATAAAAGTCTCTAATTTCTCATTCTTTATGACTGAGTAGTATTCCATTTTATAGAAAAACCACATCTTTATCCAGTCTCCAGTTGATGGGCAATTGGGCTGTTTCCAAATTTTAGCTATTACAAACTGTGCCGCTATAAACATGGGTGAGCACATATCACTGTGGTTTGATTTCTTTAATTCTTTTGCGGAGATACTCAGCAGGGGAATAGCTGGCTCAAATGGAACCTCTAATCCTAGTTCTTTGAGGTATCTCCACATTGATTTCCACAGTGGTTGCACCAGTCTGCACTCCCACCAACAATGAGTTGTTCCTTTCTACCCACAACCCAGATAACATTTGTTATTGGTTGATTTCTTGATAGCAGCCATTCTTTCTGGGGTGAGGTGGAATCTCAGTGTTGTCTTCATCTGCATCTCTCGAATGACCAGTGATGTTGAACATTTTTTTCATATATCTATTTGCTGCTTTTACTTCTTTGTCTGAGAAATTTCTGTGCATTTCAGATGCCCATTTTTGAATCAGATCTTTATATTTGGGGGACCTGATTTTTTTGGAGTTCTTTACATATTGTAGATAATAGTCATTTGTCTGAGGTCGGTTGATTTTTGTTTGGAATGGGGAACTCAGAGATCATGATCTGATTTTCTGTTTCATGATTTAATTTTGTGTTTTCAGTTTGAAAACCTCCTCATTTTTGTTTTCAAAGAGAAATAGAATGGATTAGGATTTTTGTATTTTTTTGTCTTTTAAAATTTTTGATGCATTACAAAATGCTTATCAAAGCATTCTTTATTAGTCTTATGAAGTTGGTCTTTTTCTTAGCTGTACATCAGAGAGCAAAGCACATGTATTGTAACTTATACCATGTGCTTCTTATAGAGCTCTGCAAGCAGAATAAGCTGATTCAAGAAAAGAAAGATAATCTTTTAAAGTTGATTGCTGAAGTAAAAGACAAAAAGCAGGAACTGGAAGTCCTAACTACAAATATTCAGGATCTTAAAGAAGAATATTCTAGGAAGAAAGAAAGTAAGTTTCCAGTTATAAATATATTAAAAGCATAATCTAAATTTGAAAGTGTCTGTGGCTCGCAGTTCTGTACTTGTCTGCTCTGCTTTGGTGCTAGACATGGATCACATGCCTTGGGGCGTGGCCAGCGTCTCCTCTCTGCTAGGTATATAACATACATTGAACACGCGGACCCCTCATTACCCCCCTTTTCTTGCCCTCCCCACCTGATTCGCATTGAGGGTGGGGATGGGGGATTCAATGCCTATATTTTGATATGGGAGAGGTTTAGTTAAATGGTAGGAGACAATGCCACTAAATAAGATTTGCCTTGGTGTGATTTATGCCGCGAGTATTTACTGACCACACACCTTCTTTGCCTGGTGATAGAGGCACTCGTTATGCTGCAGTCTCATTACTAAAGGGAACTCATATCCAATGAATGCTTCATTCAGAAAGGAGCCCTGTCTGCCCACAGACTGTGTAATTGATTCTTCAACGTCTTGAAGTTAGTCAAGTTAGTTTTGATTTTAGAGTTCTTATCCCAGACTCAATCGTGAAGTGATTTTTCTCATCTACAAAGGATTACTTAGGGATTATTGTACTAATTAAAAAAAAAAATTCCAAATTAATATGAAAAAAAGGCTCTTTTCTCATAAGGAAGTAATTCCTAAAGGAATGGAATCGTTTTTCCATGAAGCAATCAGTGTATCTTTGTCTATCTAGAGATATCAAAATAGTGTAAAATGAAGTCTATTCATATTGTGGCCACACAAATCCCTGGCCTAATTATCTGTATTTCAAGCAATTTTCCCTTCCATCTTGAATGAACAGGAGCCCCTTTTGATAATCAGTAGAGATAGAAACATTAAATTTAAATAGATTCAAATGCCTGGCATCATTTTTATGGTTGTGTTCAAGTTTCTTAAAATCAATTCAGTGCACGTTAATTGAATTGTTTAAAATGCCTGATGTGGTGTGTTTGCTTTTTAATCAGCTATTTCCACTGCTAGCAAAGCTAATGAAGAAAGGTTGAAAAGGCTGCAGAAGTCAGCAGACTTGTATAAAGATCGACTTGGACTAGAAATTAGAAAGATTTATGGTAAGTATATTAATATAAGTAATAAATATATAAATTTATTAGAGAACATGTCTTATGTATTCTGAAAAATTTTTAACAATACATTGTTAGCATCTTAATAAATAAAAAATCAGTTTATCACTGAAGCATAACTAGATGCTTTGATTATTCAATATTTTAATGAATATTTTTAGCATGGTTGACAACATGCAAATAATTTTCATTTTTTGTTCCTAGTGACATCTGTATCAGCATTTCTGCATTTACTATAGCCTTAATAGTGGTAATTTGTAAATCGTAGTGTAATCATTCATTCCACTAATGTAGTATAATTGTTTTATGGAATGTTTAGCATATATTGCTTTTAACAACATTTGGATTCTTCTAATTTTTCGGTTTTAGAAGTACTATACCAAACATCAACTTCCCTGTTTTTTAAAAATAATTTTCATGAAGTTCTCAGAGAGAAATAATTAGCTTAAAGCTCATGAATGTTTTTATGGGTAGTCCATGCATATGTGCTAATTTATAGCAATGTCTTATTTCAGGCTCCCCAAAGTTGCCCTGGGTTTGGTGACTGAGTCACTAGGGGGACTCAGCATATGTAGTATCCTCCTTTATATGTGGCATAGATGTTTTCCAAGGCCCCCCAGTAGATACCTCAAATTGCAGATAGAACTGAATCCTACACATACTATCTCTTTTCCTATACATACAACCTATGATAAACTTTTTTTCTCCATTGTTGGTGGGAGTGCAGACTGGTGCAACCACTATGGAAATCAATATGGAGATACCTCCAAGAACTAGGATTAGGGGTCCCATTTGACCCAGCCATTCCTCTGCTGGGTATCTTTCCAAAAGAACTTTTACCTTTTTTCTTAAGGGAGGGACTTTTTAGCTTCTCTTTGACATATTCAAATTACTAGTATCACTGTTCTTACACTTTTAAGGTCATTAATTAAAACAGTGGTTACCTGAATACACACACTGATACTAGGACAGTCAGTCTAATATCTGGGACAGCTACAAAGTGACCAACTCCATACAGGTCATGTATGGAGTGGGTACTCCAGACAAAGGAATGATCCACATTCTGGCAGATAGAATGGGATGGCATGAGAGTTCATCATGCTACTCAGGACAGTGCACAATTTAAAACTTATGAATTGTTTATTCCTGGAATTTGTATTGAATAGTTTTGGACCCAGGTGACTATGGGTAACTGAAATCATGGGTAAGGGTGGACTACTATAATTATACTCATGGCTAAGCATTATTGCGGCAAAAGGATGCAAAACAGGATTAGAAGAAAAAGGCACACAGTGCAAAGTCTAGAGGAAACCAGGCACAAGCTTTTAAGAATCCAGTGGAATCACATAGGACACTCTTGATTTCTTTAAGCATCAAATTGTGACAACCCAAGTGAGTGAAGTGTTGCCTACTGGAAACTCAGAGACTACTCTGGAAGTTTGTGCTTGGTTTCCCTTGGACTTAACTCCTCACGTCTTATCCCTTCACTGACTTTGTTATGTCCTTTTGCAAGTCTTAGTCAATTAAACCTAATGTGATAGTGGGGACCCAAAGCACATCAATCAAGGGCCAACCTGGCTATCGGGGCTTTCCAAAGATGTAAGATTAACAGTCTCAGGCCTAGGTTCACTCTTTCTGTAATGTTCAGGAGAACCCATTTCATTGTATTCTTGACAGTGTTAAACCATAACTCCAGATTGAGCAATCTTTGAAATAAAAAATACATTGAGCTGTTGTAGATGCAGCAAAAAGAAAAGACAGGTCCCGGGACAAGTTCCCACTGCCACCAGCAGCAGGAGCAGGTAGCATTTGGAAAAATACTCAGAGCTAAGAGCATTTTTTGAATAATGAAAGTTTGGGGAAAGAAGGCATCAATTGCATTGAACCTATAGTAGTTGTAATTATGGGATGGGAGCACATAAAATGGGGGAGGTTTGGGATAGGAGGGCAGTCCGTGAAGAGACTTAATTGCTGCTTTGGATCAATGGGGTTGTAACCAGGATGTGGCATCTAGGGAATGGGGATGAGATTTAAGATTGTAATGCTTATGGGCCAGGGATTTAGCTCAGTGGTTCGGTGGCCTGCCTTGCAAGCTCAAGGACCTGAGTTCAATCCCCAACAAAAAAAAAAAAAATTGTAACGCATTCTGGAATGTGAGGTGGTCATTCGTTCTTGGCTTATAGCTTGTTACCTAATTAATCTCACCCATCTCCCCCTCACCTCCACCCCCAACCCTTATACTTAAATTTAGGACACCTCAGAATTTTTCTCTTAAAGTTTTTTTTCTTTTTTTGGCAGCTGACAGGGCATTAATAGAACTTTTATATTGAAAAAAAACTTTGCTTATTTAGGAAAAGGTGACTTTTTTTCTACTTGTTTGCCAATTATATTCCTCTCTTTGCTATTTGAGTCCTTTACCTGTATTGTACATCTACTAGTCTTAGTGTTCTTCCTAACAGTTGAGGTGAGTTTTTAATAAAACATGTTAACTTTTTAATTAAATGGGAATATGAGAACTTGTAATGCATTCAATTTAAGTAGATATTCATATTATCCTGGGATGCTTCCTGTTTTGTTTAACTTTGTATTAAATACCAATTTTAAGACCTTAAAATTATTTTCAGGCTAAAACTAGAACTTTATCATAGCCATCAAAGTCAGGAAATAATATTTTAAGGAAGTGTGATATTATGAAATAGCTCTTTGGTCTGCCTCCCAGTTTCCTGGCATGGGACTCCTGAAATCCTTGGAACTCTAAAGTGACAAATGTGGGTTTTGTATGCTGATGAGTTGGCTGATGGCTGACTGCAGTCTCCTGAGTGGAAAGACCAAGGCAAGACTAAAGCGCTGGGACTTTCAGTCCTACCCTCCACCCTCTGGGGAGGCGAGGGAGAGAGCCTGAGTAAGAAGATCACTAGTGGCTAGTGATTTTTATCAGTCCTCGGGCACAAAGGAGCTTCTATAAAAAGGCAGGGTTCTGGGACTTTATGGGGTAGTGTGTCTGGAGACGCCCCCGAAGCTCCTCGCTCGCCCTTCTGGTGCCTTGCCCTTGCCCTGTCTATCTCTTCACCTGAATTATCCTGTGTAATATCCTGCCAAGCCGGTGAATGTATGTCAAGTGTTTCCCTGAGCCCTTTGAGCAGCTCAAGCAACTTAACCAAACCCAAGGGGGAAATGGCAACACACTATGTCCAAGTAGGTAGAATCAGAACTGAATTGAGCTAGAAGGTATCTAGAGATCCACTGCAGGACCCCTAAATGGCCACAAAAGTACTCTGTGTTGATTGTTAAGTGAAAGAAGAGCCTTTGAGCTTTTTCTCTCTCATATCTTCAGAAGAAGAGAAAATTTCAAATTAAACCCTTCATTTTGCCCTGACTATCTTGTATCTCATGAAATCTTTTTCCCTTGGCATGAAACCTTCCCATTACTATTAACAATTCAAAAATCTGGTGTACTGGCATAATTATTTCATTCTGAGTTCTGTGCAAGACAAGTTTTTCCGAAGTTTCTTAGGATTTCTTTTCATACTTGTAAATTTTGATAAGATGTTCTTGGGGGGAGTGGGTGAGACTGAACCTAGGGCCTCGTTTGCATATGCTAAGCCAGCACTGTACCAGGAAGCTACATCTCCAGTTCTTTTTTTAAATTTTATTTTGAGGCATTCTCACTAAGTTGCACAGGCTGACCTCAGATTTGTCCTTCTTCAGTACCCCATGTAGTTTGAATTACAAGCCTGTGCCAACATGCCCAGTGAGAGTTCCTAATTTTTTATACTATAGAAGAAACTAATATGCACATGAATTTATATTTTGTGGCAGCCATCTTGAATTTCTACTTGGCATTTACTCCTTTGGGAGCATTTGAAGGTCTTTTGGAAAATAGACTGTAAGTCTGTAACTAGACGTATGTCCAGTTTAACTTTTTTTTAATGATGGTAAAACTTATATAACGTAAAATTTGCCATTCTTAAGTGTGCAGTTTGGGACACTGATTACATTTACAATGTTTTGCAGCCATTCCAAATCATTTCCAAAATGTTTTACCACCCAAGAAGAAATTGTGTGCCATTCCTCACTCCCCCAACTCCTCATGACCTCTAATTTATGTTTTGTTTCTCTGTATATACCTACTCTAGCTTTTATATAAGTGAAATCATACAATCCTTGTCCTTTTGTGTTTGACTTATTTCCCTTAGTATGATGTTTTCAAGGCTCACTGCATGTTGTATTGTATATGACAGCACCCTTCCTTCAGGGCAGAGTGGTAATGCTGTATATATTGCATTTGATCAGTTTAGTTCACCTGCTGGAGGATGCTGGGTTGTTTCACTTGGCTACTTTGAAAAATGCTGCTATGAAAACTGTCATACGTTATCTGTTCGTCACTTTCTTACTATTCAATTGTAGTTTTAAAAAATATATTGTATGTATTGAAGCCTTACTGGATATATGATTTACAAATATTTTCTCCAGTTTAATGAGTTATCTTTTCATTCTCTTGATAGTATCTTTTGAAAGACAAAAGTTTTTAATTTCAGTGTAACTTCTACACTGGGAGATACTGGTTAAGTGGATACACATACTTAGCAGTGCAAGTATTGGTCAAAGATAAGGAGTGAGAAAACTTACCTCCGTAGAAAGCTTTGACATACAAAATATTCTCATACTAAGTAATTTAATCTTTTTTCAGGGGATAAATTGCAGTTCATATTCACTAATATTGACCCCAAGCATCCTGAAACCCCATTTATGTTTTCCCTGCATCTAAATGAAGCAGGAGATTATGAAGGTATGTATTCGTATTTCTTAATTTGTGTTTAAAATTGGCATCCTCGGGTGTTGTTATTTGAATGAGAATAGAAAGGACTGTGAAGGAAAGTAATATTCCCCCAGTTTTGCTTTCCAGTCTTGCTTCTTGAGTTACTGTTTTCTAAAGGATGTGAGTGTAGTTTTGATTTATAGATATTATCTAGGAGCCTGCTTTAACATCTCTTCAGGATGACACAGTGCACACAGTAGCTGAAAAGTCTAAAGGAACAAATCCCTGCATTTCACAAGTGAATACAAATGACCCTTTTAGAGAACTTAAAATGAAACTAAGGCTATAAAACATATGCCTACCTGAACTTAGCCAAGTTGGTGACTTTGAAATCAAATGTGAATAATTAGAATATGATCATTTACCTTCCATAAGTTTCAAAACAACAAGAAGAAACTATCTAAAACCCCACACATTGATCATGTAAGTTAATTACTGATTCTGCGGCAGGGAAAAAGACATTTGACCTACAGGAAATATATGTGGTTATAATATTATGAACAATAAGAGAGTGGAAATATGTGTGTCCTTTTGTTCTTTGAATTTCCTGTACTAATAATCCTGCATAGCTTATTAGAATTCAGAAAATCAGTCATCAGACCTGTGCTCTTGTCAGAAAGCATTTAACTGACAGACACTCAGGCGAGCTGCTCGCTTGGCTCCCTGGTGTCTCAGTTCCTTTCCTTGTAGAATTTATACTTTCAGAATCAAATTCATCTACAAGTGTTTGTTTGTTTGTTTGTTTGTTTTTCCCTTTAATAAGTATTTTCTCATCTGAATGCTAGAGTTTAAAAAGCAAACCCAACAAACCTCTTACCTAGCTTTTCCATTTCTCTAAGTTGCGTAGCCTATATTACCACAGCACACAGTCTTTGATAGTGTATTAAAGTGCAATCCATAGGATAAGTGTTGAGCCGAGTGCTCCCTGGTATCCTTTCTCTGTTCTGGTCAGGCTCCTTGTTTCCTAAGCAAACTCTGCCAAAGAGCTGGAGATCTGATGCAGACTAACATCTTCCCTCTGAAGCAAGGACAAGATTGATGGTAGAGGGAGTGGGATCGTTCTTTTCCTTTGACCACCCTCGCTGGAGACCGTCATGGTACCAGCTGCACAGCTACTGAGGACCATGCTGCTATTTGTGATTTGAGTCTTAATTAGTTAATAGGATTCGTAAATATCACTCTTGGAATAGCAATGACTTTCATTTCACTTGTAAAACTTTACCTATGATGTGAAATTATTGAGGATTGACATTAAAAGTTTTGATCCGGTGGCTAGAAGTCAGATCAAAGTTTTGCAGAGAAAAAAATGGCTTAACAGTTAAAATAAACTGTTAAAACTATTTAAGTAGTTTAAAGCCATATGTATATAGGCCCAAGATGATGGAAAATGGAACTGTGCGTCACTGCACTCCAACCCCTCGAATACCATCTGTTTAAATTAAAGCAGGGTTGTAGTACGTAAGATTTGAATCTTTAGAGATTCAACAAAGAAAAGTCCAAAAGAGAGTTGGCATATGAAAATCAGGTGTCTCATTTTATGCTCCAAGCATTTCAGTAACATGTAACTGACACTGAAACAGTAGAGAGTTTGTTCCCACTTATACAAAAAAACCCTCTCATTTATATTGTCTTCATTTTTTTTTTCCCTTCTAGTGTCAGATAGTGCTCCTCATCTCGAGTGCCTAGCAGAATTCCAAGAGAATGTAAGGAAAACCAACAATTTTTCAGCTTTTCTTGCCAACGTTCGGAAAGCTTTTACTGCTATGGTTTATAATTAATGTATAAATAGTACATAAAAACGGTTTGTTTTTCTTTCCTATTGTGTTTCTCTCTATGAAAGAATTCTTGTCTCTGGTGGTGTTACGATGTTTCCATGCGGTATGAAGGAAAGCAGAATGCATCACACAAATGTGTCTCTTTGACATAAATATTTTGAGCTGAAGACAAGCAGCAGAGTCAGGGAAACTTTGCCTTCCCCATCTGCCTCCAGGCAGGGGATAACACTGTAAAGCTGTCCCCTATCCCAAGTGTACAAGGAAGGAAAGGAGTCAGTCACTGGAGAGAACTCGGTTAGCTCAGCTGCGGCCCTGGGACTCTGCAGGCGAGCTTGCTTCCTCCATTCTCCCCTAAACGTTCCTTCCCACAGTTCTCCACCTCTAGGGGATAAAGCTGCTCTGCTTTGTCTCGAGCCTTCTGCAAACCTTTCCGTTCTTCGTGTAAGATCCTATATAAGCCTCTGCTCTGCGTTACCTTTCACTGGGTTTCTCCCATGTGATGTGCACTGCATGTGTTAAAAAACTGCTTGTTTTTCTCATGTTAGCCTGTCTTGGTTATAAGGCGTCTCTCCCAAGCATGAACTTATGAGGGTTGCATAAAAATTATGTTTCCTCCATGAGAGGTGTATTTCTTTTTTTAATTAAATTCTTAGGGGGAAAATTATAAATGTAAAATATGGTTAAAGAAGTACTTGTATATATTTATTTTTAGTTAAGTGTCTGGCAGAGAGTAGTTTATGGCTAGCACTAGGAATTAGGATTTCTACAACCTACACTATTTCTCTAAGCTTTGGAATGTCGAGGATTCTTAATATTTAAAAGATTAAAAGAGGCAACTTTTAAAGAAATCCTAGGTGCCTGGCAGGCTCAGGCAGGACAGAGTTTTAAGGCAAGCCTGGGCTCCATAGTAAGACCTTGTCTCCAAAAAGCTTGGGCAAAATAAATACTGCTATCTACTATCATCCTAATATCATTTAACAAGAATATTTTATCTTGCACCAAGAGGGATTTATTGTTAGAATAAAAGATAATCTTTTACTTCAAAGAAAGTTGGCTGTATACTGCTAAGGTTTCAGAAAAGGATGTAGTTTTGAAAATTCAAATGTAAAAATCTATAATTTCTATTATCGTAAAGCTTATACCATTTAATTCTTCTCATCTGGATATGTCATCCTGAGAGTCCATTTAACACAGTCTAGACCACATGTCAACTTATTCTAGGAGTTCATTTTCTTCCCCATTCATCCTTTGGGAATTTGATTGCATTAAGGTACACCGGCTATGTTGGAAGCCATTGAACAAAGGGCTCCGTGTCTCTAGTTGCTTCTCCTGTTTTCTCCCTGGATAGTTGGGGGGCGGGGAGGAGTTCAGGTGAATAGTCCTATTAGTGAGAATAGGAAGAGAATTGAATTTCCAGTTGTGCCTCGGATGTGGTTCTGAGCTCTGTTCAGATAAGCAATAGAGTTTTGAGCAGACTGCTTTGGACTGGTGGAAATGTTATCAGTGACCCATACTAGTGGGAAGCTTTTAGGAACCACTGGGGTTGTCTCTGTAGGGATCAAAGGCTACACTAGAGATTTGGATGTGTGCAACTAGCAGTAGGCTTATTCTGTTTCAGCATGGGCTTGGTTAAAGGAAGCGCATTCAGGGGGATTACATCCCAAGACCCCTTAGTGGATGCCTGGGCCACAGACAATACCGGACACTTTATACTAGGGTTTTTTCCTATATACACATATGAAAAATTATACTTTATAAATTTGGCACAGTAAGAAGTTAACAATAATGAAACAAAGTGAAAAGTTATTCATTGAACAATTAAATGACCATTATTAAGTAAAATAAAAGTTACTTGAGCATAAGCACTACAGTGTCATGACAGTAGAGACAACTAATGAGGGACTGAGAGGTGGGTAGGGTGGACAGCATGGGAGTGTGGGAATGCCAGACGACGACTCGCCTGACAGAGTATGAAGTGCCAGATTTGACCACTGCTTAGAATTCTGCAGTTTAAAACATGAATTGTTTATTTCTGCAATTTTTCCATTTATTTTTGGACTGAAGCTGACCATGGGTAGTAGAAACCTCAAAAAATAAAACTGCAGGTGAGGAAAGACGTGTGTATGTGTGTGCATGTGCGTGTGTTATTAGAGATTGAACCCAGTACCTCACTCACACTAGACAAATGTTCTATCACTGAGATACATCCCAGCCATTTTTAAAATATTTTATTTTGAGACAGTCTTTCCAAGTTGCCTAGGCTGGCCTTGAACTGGAATTCCCCCTGCCTCAGCCTCCCAAGTAGCTGGGGTTAGAAGCATGTGCCACAGCTCCTAGCTGAGACTATTTCTTTTGCTTTTTTCTGGTTTGTTGTTGTTGTTGTTGTTTATTGGTACATTTTAGATATACAGTACAGTTACATTCATCATTGGGAACTTGTACCTTTACATGACAGGTCTTGGTTCTCATTTTTTCCCCATTCCCCTGCACTCCCTTAACCCCCTGTACCCTTCCCTATTTACAAAGACTATTTCCACTTTTTTCCTTTTCTCTTATTTTTTCTCTTCCCTTTTTACTTATCCCCTATCCCTCCCATTTGCCCAATACTTTTAGACCTTTTCTTCCTATTACACATTATCAATTATACATTTTGATCCTTATTTATACTTTTAGTTTATCACACCAGAGAAACAGTACAGTATTTACACGTGTGTCCTGTTAATTTCACTTAAGAGTATGGCCTCAGTGTGCATCTGCTTAGCTATAAATGTCTCATTCTTTATGGCTGAGCAGTACTCCATTCTATAAAAAAAAAAAAACACATCATTCTCCAGTCTCCAGTTGCTGGGCAATTGGGTTGTTTTCAACTTTTAGCTATGACAAACTGCTGCTATAAGCATATATGAACATATATCAGTGTGGTATAATTCTTTTAATTCTTTTGGGAAGATACCCAGCAGAGCGAAGGCTGGGTCAAATGGGACCTCTAATCCTGGTTGTTTGCAGTGTCTCCAATATTGATTTCTATAGTGGTTGCACCAGTCTGCACTCCCACCAACAATGGAGAAGGGTTCCTTTCTCCCCACAACCCCTCCAGCATTTGTTATTGGTTGATTTCTTGATAGCAGCCATTCTTTCTGGGGTGAGGTGGAATCTCAGTGTTGTTTTCATCTGCATCTCTCTAGTGACCAGTGATGCTGAACATTTTTTCATATGTTTATTTGCTGCTTTTACTTCAGAGCAATGTCTGTTCATTTCAGATCCCCCCCACTTTTGCTTGGTACTGGGGATTGAACTCTAGACCTTGTGCTTGTGAGGCAAGCAGCAGAACCACTAAGCTAAATCCCTGGCCCCATTTTTTAATTGGATTTTATATTTGGGGGGGGGCTGGTTTTTTTTTTTTTTAGTTCTTTATATATTCTATATAGTAGACCTATGTCTGAGAAGCACCACCTGAGACTATTTTAACAGGAGGAGCACAGTGAGCAAACTAAGTTTCGTGGGCAGACTTTCATATTTGTCCCTATTCAAGCAATCTGTCTGCATCTAAGTAAATGCATAAAACTATATCACAACTCAACTTTGGTTTTTGTGGACCTACCTTGATTGGGAGTTCAGATTAGATCTGCAGAATCCATTTCTTAGCAGTTGCTGGATGCAGGCTGCATGTAGTAGACCTTAGAAATTTCAAGCCTACCCTAGACCCTGAACTAGCTACTAGCTATCAAAGGGGGTGAAGTACATATGTGAAGTTACATGTCCCTTCAGAAACCCCAAAACAGATTCAAGTTAGCCGGAGTGACATGCTCTGCTGTGCAAAGGTTACATGGACTTTTATAGTTAACAGAACAAAAAGTCACAATGCATTTGCCAAACACACAGGTGAGAGCAACAGGTAGGAGGGTTATTATAGTAAAGTGGGAGAATTATAAATCTCAGATGCTGTCTTACAGCATTCTTAGATTGAGGGTTGGTGTAAGCCAGAGGTCTGCTAGGTTAGGCTGTTCATTTCTGAGAAGTTTACTCAGTAGTCACAAGCGTGTTACATCAGATACAGAAATTAAGGAACACAGCTTTTAAAGGGCCTAGGACAGCCCAGGATGATCTTGGTTCTTTACTGACAACATTCTATCTCTCCACAATTGTGAGGCTGTAGCCAGCCAAGGTTGAAAAGTCTGCAGGCTGTTCTGCAACTTCTTCAGAGAACTTCATACTCCTACAAAGTCGAGAACAGAAATGAGGGGCTCCCCATTTAGGCCCATTTATCTCCAAGGGACAGCCATCCTTCACTTCTAAATGGGGAGTGCATTTAGGGCACAATCTGTAGAAGAAAAATCCACAGAAGGACTGTGTAGGACCAGCCTTGGTGCTGGATCCCAAAGTTGAATTTACAAAGAAAAGTGTACTGTCACACCAAAGAAGGGTCTTGGGCCATGGAAGTTTATACACACACACACACACACACACACACACACATAATATATATACATTTATTAATTAATTTATTTATTCATTTTTCCCCCTTGACAGAGAATTTGTTTTATTCAAAAATTGAGGCTTGTCCAAACATTTTAGCCTGTTAGGGCTGCCTGGCTTAGAATAATTAGTTAATATTTTTCAGTATTCAAAGGAGCCCAGTACTTTTCTAAGTCCTTTCTATGTATGTGATCATTCGTATTCTTTCAACCTGAGAGGTGGATACCATCATTAACTTTGTTCTGCAGATAAGGAATTCAAAGAACTGTGTTTCAGCAACTTCAGATCACACAACTGGTGAGTATTAAACCCGGCATTCAAACGCAGAAGACAGTCTGACGCCCTGACCCTTGAACTTTACCTAGTTACACTCTATTGCCTTTCTGTAGTGTATTACAAGGAAATTATGTGATGACATTGTTCTTAAAGACTAAACAAATTTGAACTTATATAATTCATGTTTTTATAGACGTATAATGATTAGGAAACAAGAGTAAACTGTCTTGAAAGCAGTGGGATATATTTTGTCAAAACTGGTTTCATTAAAATGGAAAGCAGCAGGGGATTTAGCTCAGTGGTGCCCCTGTCTCCCTCGCAAGTGCAGGGTCCCAAGTTCAATCCCTGGTACCAAAAAAAAAAAAGTGGAAAGCAGGTGCATATCTCAGGGAAACTGGGCAGAGTAGCTGGTGTTCAGAACCCCGGTGCTGGCTCTGAGGTAAGGTGAGGAATTAAAGATAGGAAGGAAGGAGACAAGGAAAGTAGCTTTAAGGAAACTACAGTTTAAGACATAATCCAAGTTACCAAGGTGACCTATACCTTAATCCCTAGACCTGTTTTTCTCCTAGGCTCATCACTCCTAAATCTTCAAGAGTTTCCGAAATACTTTAAATTCATATATGCCAGGAGTTACAGCAAAGACTTCCATTTTCAATGGGTACCATATCTCTAAACTTCAAACACGAAAATACTATATTTTAACTTCATTGATAGTCAGTTCTTTATTTAGCCCTCTAATGGGCAAACTGATCTTATGTAAACAGATATCAGGTAAATGGTAAATGATTCAAAGAATAAACATGCTAAATCAGCTACCTTAAAGGCTCCAACATCACAAATATAACCCCAATGCCAGACTGTTGGCCACCTTGCTCTATTTCTGAGTGTGCTTGAGCTCTCCCTAAACAAAAAAAAAATCTCCCTTTACCTCTCACGGATGTGTCCTGAAATTCTTTCCTATGATGAGTCAAGGACCTGCTCCGTTTGAGCTGAGGCTCCTTTCTCCTCCTTGGCCCACATGGGACTGCCCCTTGGGAATAGTCTCAAGGCTCATCCTCACTGGTCTTCGTGGGAGTGGAGGATGGGAGGCCACTGAGCTGGGCATCCTCTGCAAAGGGAACCTGTCCTGCTCCGCTGTGTCCCTTCCCTCTGGTCCAAGTGTGAGTTCCACCTTTTCATCCCCACTGACGCCCAGTGACGCCCAGTGACGCCCAGGCCTGTGTTCCCCAGTGAGCATTCTATGTGATACTGTAAAGGACAAGAGGACATGTTTGCTTTGATTCTAACGCACCTCTTTCACGCTCAGGCCAATTATCCCTCAAGGTTATCAAAGTGTTGAGGCAGGGAGATGTTTTATCTTAGAGGAGAGAGCAATTAAACTGCACTTGAAACTACTAATCAGTTAAAGGCTTATAATGCTATATAATAAAATTTACCCCAAATTGAATGTGGTATTTTTGATGGATCATAAGGCACTTTTAAGTGATTAAGATGCATTTTGTCATTATGAATATTATTATGGGTAATTGAAAATGTAAAAACAATGGAATTTGTAGGTCTTTCTGGTTGATGGCCAATGGATATATCAACTTTTACTCAACCAGCAAGGGGATAAGGTAGAATGTGTGCTGTGCAAAGCGGGCTTGGCCTCTACGGCCTATATTTCAGGTTATTAAGGTGCTAAAAATTTCCTGACATATGCAACTGCTTGGTGGCATATAATTATGAAAGACTAACAGTATAAAAGCATTAACATTAAAGATTACTTTATATAGAATATTTGGGTACATCATTTTCATTCAGTGTGCATTTCATTTTGCCCTAAATTTAAGGGTTACCATTCCATTTGTCCAACCAGCAAACTCTCTTGCCCTGCTAAAAAGATATTCAGTAAGTCTGTTGTATCAGCTACACTTGTATTTATCCAGTTAACGTCCATAGCATTTCTTTGAAGTTAAAAATGTCAGAGATGCAAAAAAGAATTTGCAGCAACATTGTGAAACAAGACAGCCACTTACATTTTCTCAAAGCACAACCAATATGTGAAGAAAGGGCTTTTTGAAAATTACTTTCAGAGAGTTTCATGGCCCAACCACCGTCACTTTATACAAAATATCCAATATAGGCTGCAACCAGTTTCTACACAATCTTTCATCCATCAAGGCTTAATGGAAAGAAGTAAGATGAAAAGGAAAAATAAATTCAAAATCTCTGCTCACAGTCTAATGGCCTGTTATTCAGCCAAGTTTCTACATGCAGAAAGTTTTCATTAATATACCAGTAAGGATGACATTAAAACTTCAGATCTGTTCTAGACTGTAGATTATGTCTCACGCGATGAGTTTTACTCGAGTTCCTTGAGGTCTGATATCTGCATCTGTAAATATTGTGTCAAGTCCTATACTGTTGAGTGTAATGAGACTCCTTCAATGTTCCCATTGAAGTTCCAAAGCACAGACTTTCTATTTGGCACAAAAGCAAACATGCCCGAGTGGTTCCGTGACCTTCCATTCAGCAGAGTGTGATCTCAGGCCAGCGTAGCTGCTGCTATCTGTCCATCCAGACTGTTCCCCTGGAAGGAGTCCGGGCCTGCCTAGCTTCACTCATCCCCAAGCTTTCCTCATAGGACATTGGAGGAAGCTCCCTAAATATTCCATTTTGATAGTGAATATGGGTTTCCGGGACTTTCTGTTCAAAACACTTGTTAGCACTTAAAGTTCTTTTTACTAGGGAGCTGCTTAAGGTGCTTCTTCCATTATTTTGGGAAGCACAAAACTCCTTACATCCAAATTGATAAAAAGACATTTTTGTATAGGAAAGGGGGCAAAAAATTACAGGCACTGTCTCCCTCCGAGTTATTTTCCATCCACTTTGTTCTTGTCCTCATATCCCCAGCCACTTCCGGCTTACACTTGAACTCTCTGAGCAGGCAGCGGTGGTGCAGGGGCTGTGTGAGAAGCCACTGCCCAGAAGGTTATTGGCTAAATCCACTCTTCTTGAGGGCCTCTGCCTAGGGTCTGGACTTCTTGTCTCTCATCTTCCCTTCTCATCCCATGGACTCTTGAGCTTGGCTCCTGATCTTTTATTCTACTGTCTCCTAACCTGGGTCTGTCTCACTGCTTGCTTACCTGTCACTATTCTTGGACTTGATCTGTGTTCTCTGTATCTCTCAGGGCTTGCTTGACCCCTTGCAGGCCTGCTGTGTCCTTCTTCCGGGACATTAAAAATTGCTATTGTGCTACCAGGCAACTACATGATTTTGGACAAGTGGCTGAACCCAACCTAGACTCAGTGTCTGTCGCTGTTATGTGAAGGGTTATACTGGATCATATCTGGGGTCTCCTAGCATTCAGAAGCTTCTGGAGCGATGGAGTCTCTTCCCTGCCTCTCTCTACTTAGCCATTTTTTTTATCTGACTGTTTCAAGCAAATTACCATGGGTACAAAGTGCTAGGACATGTAGACCGGACTCGACCGCCCACTGAAAAAGCAAAACTTGCAAATATAATAGCATCTTAACTTTCTCTGCAGCACACTGCATAGTCTGCAGAGGATGGAAGGCAGTGTGTTCAGAATCTTGGTTATGCCTGTGTAGCTGTGTTCCGAGCCTTTGAAGGTAGCTCCTCCACATAGGCAGCAGGAAAATGGCCCTTTTTTCCATTGAGAGATCCAAACCACCATCCTTCTTCTTTCTTTTCATGTATAGTCACAATGTCTCCTGTGAAAATGAAGGCACTGTTAATTAGACAGCAGGTGTAGGCAATTTGACCATAAGCTATAGCCTGCGTGGTAAATGTCTTAAAGAAAATTTACATTTGAAAAGTTACTAGGTTGCATCATTTTCTGCACTTGATTCAGATGAAGGAAAATTTACTGAATACCTCACTATAAAGCAGGCATAATCTAGAGAATACTAAAAGGGGTAAAATAATTAACAATTGATTTATGCTATGAAATAGTTTGCTGAAAAGCAGAATCACGTTGGACCTCATGCTGCCTGGTTTACTCTGGAGAGTGGGTGGGCTGCCACCTACAAACCCAACTCTATTTTGTGTCCGTGCTTTTAGGTGATGATGGCCATGATAATTTGCTGTGCTGACTCCTGAGACTGGGTCCCAGCTAGCAGTGTTTTCTTAAGATCTAAACAACTCTCCATTACATCCCAATTCACAGTCCCAAATTCTAACTTCAAACTCTGCATAGAAATGTAGCTCTTCATTCATCAATTTAGAGAACTTTAATAAAACATCAATTTAAAAATAATACTTTTTTAAAGCAAGGATTCAAATAAATAGTATTCGTAAGAAACCCATCTGTGGTCCAATTCTCTCTCTCTCTTTTTTTTAATCATGACATCCCAAACTTAACTTGATACCCCAAATTCTTTGGTTAAGCCCCTTTCTTGTGAGAGAATCCTTTCCCTCTGGCTACTTCCTGTGCGTTAAAGTAAAAACATCCACTTTCTTCATGAAACAAAGGTCTACTTTTCTTTAGCATTATTCTGAGCCAATATTTCAGTCTTTCTTTCACTCTTTTCCCTAATGATTTTCTTTCTAAGTGAAGATAACAGTGAAAGCTCCTTCCATCTTTTCTGAGTCATAAATCACTATTTTTGGAGGTAATTATTCTCACTCTGAGTTCTCTCAAAGGAGTTCTCTCTGGTCAGTAGATTGTTGGACAGAATGTATTAACAAGAGTTCAAAACAATGATGTGAACTTATATTGCTAGCTTCCCTCAGCCTCCTTGTGTTTTATTGAATGAAACCACTTAGAATATAAAGCACAAGGGGGCTTTGCAAACCACCAAGAACTGAAAACAAAATAACCCATCCACTGAGAACTCTCTAACTGACTCAGGACCCCTGAATTTTAGGTGGTATCTGAGAAGTGATTTTTATTCGTAGAAAAGGAAAAATAATTGCCCGGAAAAATCTGACCAACATACTGCAGAAGAAGATTCCATTAAAAAAAATACTAATTCTGGGTATCCCCGTTTGGCTGCAAAATCCATCCTGAGTTTCCAGTGACTCTGGAAGCCATCTCTAGCTCATGGATATAAGCTTTCTCCTGCTACACAGTGCTTTCTCTGAACCTTTCTGCTTCCATTTTCCTTCCATTTCCTGCCTTAGCATTAATATCCAAATGTGGACACACAGAAGTGAGGCTGGAAGCTGGTTCTTGTTTAATAACACTGAGGTCTATGTAACCCATAGCATGATACCTTTGCCTATTGGATGAAAATCTGTGATACAAAAGAAGGGGTCTGAATCTTTAGGCTGGCCATAAAACACTTTCCTGGGAGATCAGTGGCACGATCATTAAACTGAGTGTCAGCTGAACCAGGTTCTAGAACTTCCTCTTACACTAAATCAGGAGGAGTCAGTCCATGAAAAGGTGGAGCTATTTTCTGATGACTTCCCATTATTGACACCTGGCTTCAGTGTAGCACTGGGATCAAAGGCATAACTTGAGTTTCAAATTCTGTGCTACCACGGCCTAGGACTTTACCCAAAGTATTTAACTTTTCTCTGCTCAGTCTTCTCAGCTGTGAAATGTGAGTAATAATACATATCTCAGAGTTTTTGTGAATATTAAATTGAACAGTGCTTGCAAAGTCTGGTATTGAGAAATACGACATAATTATTAGTCACTCTCATTCTGTGAGCTTTATGTAGCTTCCCAGGGCTTTATCTTCTAGAAGGGTGATTGTAAAACCTCAGCTGATTTGGTGTTAGTAGTCAAGGCTGTTGTTCTAAGACAGGGTTTTATTCATACCAAGGATCTTAAGAAGGCAATTAAAAAATCTGAGAATACATCTTACCTTTTTCCAAATTCAACTCATCGTCTTGCCTGGCTTGAAAAGAATATAAGGCCTTGCAAAGACTGTTTCCAACCTGGGCTGCACTGGAGGCTAAAAGTTGGATTAAATTGTAATTAGCATACTGTGTTAGTAAGCAAATGAGTATGATTGTGAACTCTTACAGTTTAACTGTGTGGTGCAGACTTGAAATATATTGACATTTTCTCAAAAGGAAAGTTTATAATTTTACCTGATTCATTCCTTGATTTAATAAGCATTCATGATATACCTACTATGTGTAAAGATTGTGTACACTACATATCCAAACCCCATACTGTAATGTAGGAAGTAAGTCTGCAGAGAAATGTTATTGGCATTGTAACAATAAATATGGCGACTTAAAAATTTTTTCTGGATGAGCTTAGTGAACACCGTTAAATGATTCATACAGTTGTAGGCATGTTGGGAAAACGCACTCATTTTGCCATTCAGGTAAAGACAGGGACTATTTGAAGCACGCATTTCTTCTTGTCACTCCTTAGCGCTTAGGGTACTATTTCTGAAACAATGCAAAGTGACCTTTTAAATATAAGGAGGGTGAGAGGGGCCAGGGATTTAGCTCAGAGGTTCCACTGCCTGCCTTGCAAGCACAAAGACCTGAGTTTGATCCCCAGTACCAAAAACATAAAAAAATAAAGAGAGTGAGTAGGTTGTATCCTGACAAACCACTTAGTCACCATGCTTCCTGCTGAGAAGGCGGGTATCTATGGAAGTTTAGAGGAGACAGAGCCCCAAGCTTCTCCCTCTGGTGGAGGGCAACTGTGTGGACAGCTGGTGGCAGATGTCTGAGTGAGTGGATGCCATCTCCCGACCGACACCTGCAGTGACTTCTTTTGTGGATAAATGTTTTTCCCAGCACCCACTCTTCTTGACTCCTTTCTACCCTTGTGTTACGAAACTACAGATTCTAACAAATCAGTCCCAATTGAAATGTAAATTTCTTTGAGCAAATATTGGTCAAGGTGGCTCTGAAAATAATATTAAAATGTAGCAGTGTGCTTTACCAATAGGACTTGGCCCAACATGATTCTGGGTATCGGGTTACCTGAAGATGAAGAACTTGGTTTTTTCTGCCCACCAGAAGATGTCCTACTCAAAACATTCTCTAATCTCTTTGTCAAGAAAGGCCGAGATATTTTTACATAAGTATGAGTATGCTCCTGTTCAGGTAGTTAAAAAAGAAAAAGTCATTTCAAACAACTCTATCAGCATAAGTAGTCATAAAACGTAACCCAGGAATTTATTTTTTGGATTGGGGTAAAAGGTACATAAATAAATTATTCAGTACATTCCTAAGCCTTACCATGTTGGTTAAGTTCTCTGAAGGCTTTCTATTTTCAGAATTAGACAGTTACAGTACGTGTAGCCTGTGTTCCCAGTTTAGATTTATATGTCTAGGCCAAATAATAACATTCATAGTGTTACTTCTAATCCCACTTGAACGGGGTTTTATCACTGTCTAAATGACTGAGACCATTTTAGAGCTCTTGAATCTTACTTAGAAAGAACACTATCCCCTCATCCCAAGATGGTTACAGCTCCCCCCTTCTGTTTGGTAACAGAAAATAGCGGCAAACAACAGCGGCCCATTACAGGAAATCACCAGTTCCTGAAATATTCCACACTGGAAAGATACATGTGAGCAGGAATTTCTAAGACCATACGTCATCTACATTAGATACTGAGTTAAATTATGTGCTTTGCACCATATTTAAAATGTAGTAAAATGAAACAAATGCATATTACCAAGTCTTACAATTTAGGTCTGTATAAATACTAAAATTTCAATGTAATAGAACTTTTACTATAAAAACGCATTCAAAGGCTAAAGATAAGCTATGGAGAGGGAGAAGAAACCCAACAGATTTGGGACATACTGTACATATGATTCACAACAGCTTTTTTTGGCTTTGCCTCGATCCAACTTTAAGCCACTCCACCTAGCAAGTACAGTCAAGAATGTCAACCAGTCTCTTCTGTTACCTTTTCTTTCCACTTGAAGATGGAGTTGCTACAGGGATGGCTGGGTTTAGTTCTTTGCTCAAGTTCTGCTAATACTGACAACAGTTTGTAGGAGTTCGCTTGCAGAAGGTCTAGTTTCAAATTGTTCTGTGGATACATCATTTGGCCATGTGAGTAAATTTCTAGAAAATGAGGCACAACTGGGTAGATGAAGGGATATCAGGAGGACTTTCAAAATGACAGTTGGGTATAGAAGAGCACGTGTTCACCTCATGTATAGATGTGCACCAAAAATGCTGAAAAGAAAGCACGTGAAAGAAAAGTACCCCTTAAAGCAGTGAAGAGAAAGAGCCTCAGTAGTTGAGTGTGTCCTTCTCTGTTCTCTTGTCAATAGGGTAAAGAAACCTTGTTAGATACAACTCGGTATTTTGTGGCAATGGCTGTAGCTTGTTTTGTTTTCCCTTTCCTTTGAAGAGGTAGTGTATTATAGTATGCAGAAAGTTTGGAGTGAAGCTCTCAAACCTGCAAATAATATTCTAGGGTATTTGATTCTAAAAATAAGGAGTATTTGCGAGTCATGTCGGCACTGGCCTGTAGTCCATTCAGGAGGCTGAGGCAGGAGGATCATGAATTCAAGGCCAGCCTGGGCTACATAGCAAGACTGTCTCAAGTAAAAATGAATGAAAGGGGTGGAAGAGTTACCTCAGTGGTGCCACCGCCTGCCTTGCAAGCACAAGGTCCTGAGTTTGATCCCCGGTACCAAAAAAAACAAAAACAAAAAACAAACAAACAAACAAAAAACAATGAAGTTGAACACAAACTCCTAGTCTCTTCTTATTTTTGCTTTGATCTTAAACTACAACTTAATAATTACTTCTTTGTCAGGCTTTGTTCAGTCAGGATGAAGCAGCAGAATCTAAACCAGAATCCTGCTTATCCAACCCCTCTTCCTATTACTTCTCTTTTCTCCAGGCCTCCATAGGAAGTTCCTAACCCTAACATCCCTGCTTAGCGGGGAGGTCACATCCGAAGACAGAATTCCTCCAATAATGGAAAAGGTCTCTAATCCTTAGTACAATGCATTGCATTGTGGGGCAGGCTCACCTAAAACAAAGTCAAGACCTGCCCCCCATCAGACCCAGGCTGTGTTGCATCTGAAAGCATCAGAGAACCAGTCTAGCTCCTCTCACATACTCCTTCCAGTATTGGGGCAATATCTCATATCTAATATCTCACAGTGCCTCTAGTCTCTGTAGCATTTCTCCTATAACAGGCCTCGTCAACATTCCTGATTCAAATGTGGCGCTTCAAGGACCAAGGGACAAAGAGATAGAAATGAATTTAAATAAAGCAAAGTTTCCTTTTCCAAGAAACCTTTCCTGGGTAACATGAAACCTCCCAACATGACTGGTTCCCCTCTACCCAGATGCAGACAGGTGCCAGAGAGTCACCGGTATGCTTGGCATCCACTACTTGAAGGTCCCGCGTGCTCCTTCACTAGCTCATAACCCCAGTTCAGGGGTCAGGTCTTTGCCCCCTGTAGTGTGTGCTCTACGTCCTCATATGTGCTCTTTGCTGGTCATAAGCGTGATAAAGTTCTATGCAAGAACAATCAAAGAAACGTGTGATTCAATAGCATCATACAATACTCATGACTATTTCGGTAAATACGATTTGCATTTAATTTTTGTTTTGGTTTGTTTTCTCGAGACAGGGTCTTGCTTTGTAGTTCAGGCTGGCCCTGAACTCACTCTGTAGCCCAGTCTGGCCTCAAACTCACGGGGATCCTCCTGCCTCGGCCTCCAGAGTGATGGGACTGCAGGTGTGCAGCACCACGCCCGGCTGCATTGAAATTTGTTAACTGAACTTTCCATGCTGTCACAGCAAACATCCTGCCCTCTGTGTAATTGTTTCGTGTGAAGTGTAGCCTCGTATTCTTGCAGCAGTGTCAGACCTCTGTCCCCAGGAACGTGTGCAGGCCTCGCTTTTCACATGAAGCATCAGGACTATTCCTGCAGCAGCCGCGCAGCTGAAGGAGCCTGTGCTAAAAGCAAGGAGCAGCTGTGCTGCTTTCATCGAAACATGTGGACACTGCCAGAATGTAGCTGCCCACCGTCACAAGGGTTAGGCAAGGTGGAAAAAGGTAAAGAGAGCTGAACTAGGTTCCTGTATCCTTCCAAACACTAACAATTTTCTCTCTTCCTGAATTATTCTGATTAACCCGAATCCTCTTCTGATCATTCAAATCACAGCAAAAATCCACCTCTTGCACACATAGGGATCTGCTCATTTTTATTCCTGTGTAAAGTTTAAAAAGCTGCCCTTTCAAGTAAGCTTTCTAAGGTGGCTAACATGTCCATCATCTCTACGAATGTCTGTAGGGCTGCTAGATTCCAGGCTGTCAGTAGAAAGGCTGGAAGCCCTATCCGCTGCCCTTCATTTATTAAGTACTGAAAGTGAAAATCAGAATGGTTATATGAGTACGGTTTCCTACTGCTGTAAAATTTAAAAATCATTAAGTGAAACCATAAATTAATTTGGGACCATTTTTACTAGTTTTTGAGCACTGAGCACTGTGCTAGCATTTTTAAAACAATCTTCCATTCTCACAAAAACTCTATGAGGTAAGTACCAATATCCCCATTTTCATGATAAAAAACAACAAAGGAAAACAAAACAAAAACTAACCTTGCTCAGGCCCTGCAGAGCCATCTCCAAACAAAGCCTTCCCTGCGTTTTCGTCACTTTTCTTAACTGGGTTCACACGCACACAGTTTCATTAAAGAACGAATCTATTTGGAGGAATTTTATTCTAGACACAAGTGTTTTTCCTAGTGTCCTCCTTTGACAAGACATTAAAGCAAATACTTGTATGTAGTCGTAGTTTTCCAGATTGCTCCAACTTCCTATGAAGGTGCTGGCCCCATACACTCTCCCTAAGTAGCTCTGTGTCATGAGAAAGGAAAGGCAAACAGCAAATGGACTGGAAAACCAGTATTCTAAAAATAACCCTTTCGTCACTACATGCACTGTGCAAATATTTACCTCCACCATTAACGCCGCTGCGTCTTTCTGGCTCTTTTCATCGGAGAAGGAGGAATTGCTGGAGTATGCATTAAGCATTCGTTCCAGGCCTGAAAATGAAACCACGCTCTTGGTCACCTTTCATCCTGTCCTCGTAGGACACAGCTGAGTGTCAGTCACCCTCCAAGGGATCCTGAATCTGAAGTGATGCCAGTCACTTTCCTAATTGTCGAGGGGTAGTCAGTTCTGTATGTAGCTGTCACTAAGTTTTACTAAATGAACAATGGTGAATCGACTGACTGCTCACTTACCTTTATCTTCATTTAATGAAATTTGAGAAACATTGATGCTTAATGCATCTTGTTATTTTTTTCAAATGAGATTTTGAATTCCTTTCAGTCGGCCCATTTTAATAATTCCTAACTCATTTTTCTACTTACATCCCTAAACACTGTCTGTCTTGGTTGCCTGTCTGCTTTACATTGCAATGAACTGTTGTGGTGCCCATGAACCTAGGCAGATTAGAATCACAGTGCACAGATGTTTTCAGTAACTGCACTGCTTTAGAGCTATTTCACATTCTAACATGCTTAACTTCTAAGTAAGGCATTTAATTTCACTTTTTTACACTATTCCCAAAATTAGTAAAAAGAAACAAGTTGGGCGAGGTGGCACACACCTGCGTTCCCAGAACTTGGGAGGCTGAGGCAGGAAAATTGCAAGTTCCAAGCCAGAGTGGGCTACATAGTTCAAGGTGAGCCTGAGCTATATAGCAAGACCCTGTAGAAAGGTAAAAAAGAAAGGAGAGAGAGAGAAGGAGGAGGAGGAAGAGGTGAGGAAAGGAAGGAAGGAAAGAAGGTAGGAAGAGCCAAAACTGTGCACAGTATTTTTGCCATATTTAAAAATCACAAAAATTGTCTCTTTCCAGCCAATTTTGGAAACACAGTAAAATGCTACATTTCTTAAAATGGTAGCATATAGTACACAGACAGCTCTCATATATAGGCCAAAATGTCATTTTACACTTTTTCCTTCCTTTTTAAAAATGTTCTCCTTCATTCACAACTTAGGTTTCATAGTGGGTTCTTTAAATCCGGTAATCCTGCCCTAGTCAAAGACACAGTTACACACCTTCCTTGTCTTTGGAAGCTTTTTCAATGTCTCTTTGCAGTCTCGACAATTTTGGTTTTATTAAAGATTTTCGTCTCTCTTTATCCATTGCATTGTTAGGATCTTCTTCCTTTGAGGGAAAAAAATGTTTAATAACTTGAGAAAAAAGTAAGAGTTGCTACGCCCAGTTAGAGACTTTCATTGACTGCATTTAATTTTAACTTTACAGAAGAAAAATATTAAAAAGACTAAAAATGAAACCAGACCAACATTTGGTTTTGCACACATTGTTCTGCCTGTTCTAGACCTGACTAACAAGAAAATATCTTGTCCACACCTTATAAGTACATGTTTCTTTAATAAAACAAATTATCCTTGGAGGAGGAGGCTTATTGTAGTTGTAAATGATTCTGTTGGATGGACACTTGTTCCCCTGTAAAATAATTTATGTTTAGTGAAGCTACAGTCCTTCGGTGGTCTGGTGTATGGCGTATGTGCCTCACGCTGGGACGGTCCGAGAAGGGGAGTGGGTGTTCCCTGGTTTCAGTGTGGGCTTGGTATTGGAAGGCACGAGCTAAAGCACCTGCTCTACCCGAATGGGTTTGTAATTCCGCCAGGCTGTGCAGCATGACATGAAGGCCACATACGTTCACCAGGGTCGGGGGCACCTAGGGCAGCGGCAGTGGGGAGCTCTGAGGAAGGCGAAATGGCGAAAGCAAAGGAGAGAGAGCAGACTCTGTGGAGAACACCTCAGGAGGAGCAAGTGGAACAGCTGCCTGTGAAGAACAAAGAACAAGTTGTCTTTTTAGGCCACTCGGCCTGATTTCAGGATCTACCTTAGAGGCCATGAGGAACCATTACTGAGATCTAAGTTTTCACACAGATCATTTCAAGGGTTAAATACAAATGAATCAGGGTGGAGTGAGGCAGGGAGGTGGCTAAACCTCAAGGGCAGAAGCCTGTGGGGCTAAGGGGGAATTAATGACTCAGACAGAAACAGATGAAACAGATTTCTCTGATAACGAAGGAGAAAAAACAGGATCCTAAATACTGTTGGAAAGGTCAGCTTTAGGTAATTCCTCACAAATTGGGGAAAGTGTAAGGACGTGGAGCAAAAGGAGCAGCCTCTATAAAAATGTAATAAGTCAATAAAAATATTTTATTTACATATTGTGCCTTCTATATAAAAGCTCCTCTATAGTCTTTATTACATGCAGTTCTTACAAGAGTTCTACAAGATTGGCTTTTATTTTCCCTATTTTTCCTGTCATACAGAGAAATACAGGAAGGTCCAGGCACAGTCAG